CATTCCTGGGTGTGCAGAACTGAGCCCCCTTAAGCCCCCAGACTGGCTGGAGATTTTGGACAGCTCTGGACTGCCCAGGCTTTCCCACCACAAACCAGACAGACATTATCTGCTAAATAACAGCACAAATGAATGCCAATTTTGTGGCAGCCACAAATTTGGGGCATATATATATGGCACAACAAGAGGCATGGATATCTGTTTGCCCTGCCTTCACTCTGACGTAAAAGTTTCTATGGTGGCACAAAGGTGATGAAAGGTGACTTCTGTTTCTACCTTTAGAGAAGCATTAACATATGCATGCTATTTCTCTAGCTGGAGATCTACAGATTAATAGTAAATACTGGTGCTGGAATCTGCATCCGCTGAACATTCCTCCCTTGGCAGTAGAAAGGTGTTTACTGTAAAGATTAATTAATTAAGAAGGCTGAAAGCAGCAACACTATCCCAATGTCTCCTAACTAATATTGCATAACTTCTAAAATCTTCCCTAGATCGGACTTCTTGAATGCATATGCTAAACTATAGCATAGCAAGAGCTGCAATAGCAATAGAAGTCTGGAGCATCCCAAGCTTTATAAAGTTAGATGTTACATTTAAGAAGTGATTAATAAGTTATTCATGCCATAAATAGTAACCCAGACACATTTTCAGGCAATTAATAGCAAGAAAAAATGGGAAACCAACCACAAAAATATTCTACAAAATACGTGACATATTTTTGTGACTGGTTTCCATGACACCTTAAACTGAATGTGTGGCAAGGTAACCTCACCATGCAGCCTAATGCCAGCTGCATGGCAGGGCTTGCTTGACAACTCCCCCTGGGTCAACAGGCTGACAGCCCTGAATGGAGTTGCACCCTGCTGTTGTCAGGGTACCAGGTTGTGGAGTGTTAGGAGGTAGTGTGCCTACCTTGCCCTGCTTCACTAGCTCCCAGGGAGCTGTGGAGCAAGGCAATTGACACATCCTGGCCACAAGGACCCTGTGATTGGGGGAGAGATTACAGACCTTTTACTGGGTCCCGGTTCACTGAGACCTTTAAAAACCATGTGTGCAGCCTGGTTGTACATACGGTTTTCTGACATCCCCAGTGCATGGGGATTCTGGTATCAGGGAACCTCTCCTGAATTCTGAGGCCCTGCCACAGCTGATTGTTGGTCCAGGCCCTGAGATGCCAGTTTATGCCGGACTATGGGTACCAGATTTCAATTTGCAAGTGCAAAAGAAGCCCTGGATTGTGATCCTAGGCTTCCCCTGCACTGGCAAGTAATAATGGTGTGATGGGATCTGATACCTGATCCCAAAACTCACATGTTCTGCCATGTACATGTAGCATTGTAGGTAGGAGACCTAATTGTTGCAATCAGGGTTCAGATCCCATCATGCCATGAAATGAATGTGTCCCAGGGCCTAAGCATGTTGCTACACTGTTTCTGGTGTTCTCCGACAGAGCTATTTGCAAGCCTGCTCTGCCTAACCACGACAACTTGCATTTGCCAAACCCAGAAATGAAGCAGAGAAGATGTGCAGGCATGTCCCTTGCAGCTTCTCACAAGACCTCTGTCTTCAGAATGCTTGAGAGATATTGGGGAGAGAACTCCCAGAGCACCTCTATCACTGTGTTTCTGAGTTTTGTAGGAAGCTAGTGGCCAGAGCATGCTGAGCATGTAGGAAGTTAGTGGCCAGGAGTTCAGGCATAAGAAATAAATTCATGCGTAGAATACAAGAGGTCTCAGTTTAATTGGCAGCCTTTGTAGCTTTGGGCAAGTCACTCTGGTTCACTGTATCTCAGGCCCCTGCTACACAGTTACCTATATTATACAGTTAACTGGTTAATAGCGCAATAAATTTAAACCAACCACGTGTGCAAAGTAAGACTGGCCATGAGTGCAAAGTAATTATCACACAATTAACTGGTTAATCACGCATTAAACTTAGACCAGCCACATGTAAGAAGTATATTAACACACCATAAAAATGACTATTGATCTATAAAAAGAGCCAACAAAGTTAGTGCTTGAAAGTGTGTAACAACTCTATAGCTGGTTTCTATCCCACTTTAATTTGAACATGTAACAAGACCCTTGAGGTGCCTATACATGAGCATGGAGGCTGCTGAAACCCACTATAATTACAGCGTGCTGGAGCAGACTTGATTAATCATATCTGCTAGAGCATGGTATTTACTGTGCTCCAGCCAGCCTCCATGTCTAATGTGTCAGCATCCCCGCACTCCAAAATGGTGGAGAGGGCGTTTTATCTAAAGCTCGTCAAACAAAGTGCCCCCGCCACCATTTTGAAGCATGGGGATGCTGATACACAAGATGCTCTGGGCACTTTAACTTGAGCAGCTCTCAGAGCCGCTCTATTTAAAGCACCCGCCCCACCCCCAGATCACATGTATAGACACCCCAAATGTCCTGTTTTTAAAAAAACTTAAGCTGTCTGTCACATCTATTTAAATTTTAAATTATCAGTTCTTCAGTGTATGGCTTACTGTGTGCATGTACTGTGGACATTCTTGGCAAATAAAATAATTAGTAATGATAATAATGTTAACATTCATTTAGGACTGCACGTATCTTTTAATCAGTTGAGAGTTGAGGTTTTCATATTGAGAGTTTAGGTCACAGCATCAGAATAATAGGTAGAGTGGGATTTTAGCAACTTCTGAAGTTCCTGTCTCAGAAAGACAGATATTTTATAACATTCCTGTGACTCACAGCTTCATTTAATTGAAATGGGTTCTTTACAGTGTGAAGAATTAAGCTTGCATACTAACCTTACTCAATATGTGGCAGAACTTCCTTTGATGTAAACTAGAATAGTACATACAGCTCCAGACAGAGATACTGATTTTTTTACGTAAAGAGAGCTAGGACTCAGATCCACAAAAGTATTTAGGCAGCTAATACCTGTTCAGTGCTTTGATGATCTGCACTTATGAAGTGCAGACTAAAAGGCTTGCAGTGGATTCAGACAGATGGCAATCCAGATGGGGAAAAATATACTGGCTTCCTACTTTAACTGATTTCTTTTGATAATTGTCTAAGTTTATTTTTTGTCTCTTTTTAAAAAAAAGTATTAAGCCCTTTTTTAACTAAGGCTTTGATAACAGACTTCAGGAAGTCCAAAGTTTATGTCTGTGCTGTTCTATTTTTATTTTTCTTTCAAAATTAAAGCCACAGCGACCTTAAGCAAAATAAGCCCATTGTGCTAGAAAATGTCAGCCAAACAAAAACAAGACATAATGAAAGTACTGACCCACAATAGTTGGTCACCATTACTCTTGCAAGTCGTGGCTTATCTTGCAATTTTGTGCTCATCAATAAATCTGACACAACTGGGTGATTTTGGATATTTCATTTGTGAAGACAATTTTACCATATCACTCTCGGAAATCAGCCCCCCGACATGTTAGGCGCCCATCATTTTTAATCCTTTCTGAAAGCCTAACAAGGAAATAAATATTATAGTTCATGGGTGTGAAATTATATCATGTGGAGGGCCGCTTAACAAGTTTTGGTGAGCTGTTGAGAGCCACATGGGTAGTCCCACCCCTTGACAGTTGCCCCACCACCTTGTTGCCATCTTGGGACTGGAAGACCTACCCCTAACCCCTGACCTTTGCCACCAGAAGTCCCTCCCCTTGCCCCCTGGAAATGCTCCTTTTGGGAGGGGGGTTGCCATCTTAGAACCAGAAAAAAACCAAATCATACACTAAAAGTCAAACACCTACTATAACGTATTTTAATTTTATTATGAAAAATATTTTGTCATGATTTGTTTGTGTTGTATATAGAGAGTAATTGCATAATAACTCAAAAATAAATTCTTAGTCTTGTATATTGCGGGGAGGTGTATGGTGGGGTATGGTTGCAGGTGTACGTGCATGGTGTGGTGGGGGGGTGTATGATGTAGTGGGGTATGGGTGTGGGTGGTTGGCTTTCTGGTGTGTGTATGTGTGGTATGCGTGTGATGGGTGTGTGTGTGTGTAGTGGATATGTATGGTGGGGTGTAGGGGGTGTGGTTTTGTGTGTGTGGTTGGATGTGGGGGAGTGTGGGGAGTTTTGAGTGGGTGTGACTGTGTTGGAGGGGCATAGGATATGTTGGGGGTTATATATATGTCAGGGGTTGTGGGGGCAGGGTGTGGGTTTGTGGGGTGTGAGGAAGGATGGTGGGGGTGTGGGACTCCCCACCCCTCATTTCCTCCCGTGGTGCAGCGGCAGCAGGTGGGTCACTCAGGGCACAGGCGCCCAGTGGGGGACAGCTCCGGCCAGAACTGGACATTGCAGTGAAGGGTGCAGCCTCCCCTGGGCCATCTTTATCCTGATGCTACCTGCCACTCAAGCACAGCCCCCACACTCACTGGGCATGGGAGGGAAGCCCCGCATACTGGAGCTGGCTGCTTTCTCCACCAGGGCTGTGTTGCAGGGGAGGGAAGCCCCAGGTGCCTTCCCCTGGGGGCCAGAGAAGGCAGCCAGCTCCAGTGCCTGAGGCTTCTCTCCAGTGCTGTGCAGCCCTGGTGGGAAAAGCAGCCGGCTCCAGCACACGGGGCTTCCCTCCCATGCTGTGAGTGCAGGGGTGTGCGTGAGTGGCAGGGAGTGCTGGCAATACAAATGACCTGGCAAAGACTGCGCCCCTCACTGCAGTGTACAGTGCTGGCTGGAGCCATGCCCCACCGGACACCTGCACCCTGAGCACCCCGCCTGCTGCTGCTGCTGCCACCACCTACTGGGGCTGCATGCAATAGGGAGAGTGGTGGGGGGGGAATCCCCACACCTTCCACCCTCCCTCACACCCACACACTGGCCAGCCAACCTCCATGCTGCTGCCAACCCCTTGGGCATGGGCTCCATGCTGCCACCAACCCCAGCCCCATGCTCTGCGCTCCTGCCCAGCTGCAGCCTCAGCCCCACTGCTTCCCTACCTGCTGCCCAGAGCCAGAAGGAGACCGGGGAAGTGGAGCAGGTCCCCAGGGGCTGCAGCAGCAGTAGCAGCCCCATGCAGAAGCTGTGTGCTGGTGGGGCTGAGCCCACAAGGGTGGGAGCACCCCATTATAGTTGAACTATTGCTGTTATATTAAATACTCATCACATTAGGGCAAGTTTTTAACACCTGTTATCCATTTTTCATCCACAGTTAGCAGCTGTAAATAACAGTAGCCAAACAGCTCTGGTAACTGCCAGCACTAATAAATGTATTTGTGCAAAGAGAACGCTAGATTGTAGCTGAGATGAAATTAAGGGACCATATAGCTAAAATTTGATTCCTAATGTAACTTCATTTTAAATGGCAGGATTAGTGCATAACCTTTTGCCTCTTGAGCACAAGGAAAAACATAAACAAAGACTTTAACTTGAGTCTTTCTAAAAGCAGCTGTTTCAGAATTCTGGTCATTTTTCACTTGACCCCTTCCCTGTGAATTTCATTAATGTGGCTCTTTTGGTAAATCCAGCCTTTGTGGAGCACAGGTGTTTTGCCATATTGTATTAGAGGAAGCCAAGTGAAAAAGAAAATATCCTTACAATGAAGCATATAAACAAACTGGGGACACTGAGGCCTTCAGCTATTTTATCAAATTTATTTTTCACCAGGGTAAGAACATGTGATGAACTCAATTCAGGAAATTGTATTTTCTATCAGTTTGATGAGGGCTTAATCAGAATAAGAGAAGGTGCAAGTAAGATATCGGTGTTAATATATGAATTTGTATCTACCAAGGAACTGAACTCTTGAATATAGTTGCTAATAGAGGTGGCTGCTCATCCTTAAAAGTGGTCTTTCCACTTCGGGTCAAGCACATTAGTGAAGGAGAGCAGAAACTTGAACTCCAGCTAGTCTCCAGAACTATTAATCCAGCATCTTTTGTAAGCATTAAATTACTAAAAATGTAAAATATAATTATACCATTCAAGATGTACCAGTGTACCTAACTACTTTTATATTTCCTTCAAAACATCTCAGATGTTTGCATATATTGCCATGTACTCACAGTCTAACTACAGAATGTAAGGTATCTTGCAAAAAAGTATATATAATGTTTTTCCTTTCTTCCTGTTCACTTAATGCAACAGGTCCAAGCTGTTTTGAGAAGACACTGGAACCAGTACAGAATCCAATTTGAACACAGCTTCAGTCACTCAGATGCTATTCGCACAGCTTCCTACACAGTATCATCGATCAGTGATGTTCAGGGTTACAGCTACAATCATGATTCCACCACTGAACATTTAAATGGGAAAGGATACCATGACATGGAGACGGTTGTTTTAAAAACTGAAAAGCTATATGGCTGACCGCTAGAGACTCTTTAGATCTTCAGTACTCTAATCCTCAGAGTTCATGAACTTGACCTGTTGATTTAGTGACTTCATGGCCAGATTTTTGCCAAACCTGGGACGTTTTTTCCTGAATGATGCAACCTAAGACAACATATTCCTCACATGTATATTCATTTATACATACATATATATATGTGTGTGTGTGTGTGTGCGCATGTATGTGTGTCAATACAGTATGGACACATAAATATATATGTATGCACAAATATAAAAGTACATTTATAAAAATACAGACTTTGCCTCTTCAGTTTCTACCGTGTAGACAAAGTTGGCAATTTTTCGTATGAAGGGAATCAATGAAAGATTTCTTATTTTCCTGAAAGCTTGTATGAAGACTAGGTTATATTGTAAGCCACTTCATTTGCAAGAACTCAGCTTGTAAATACTTTATTTATCATATTGTAATGTTTTACTTCAACTGATACATGCAACCTAAACAAGTGATTAAGGCAAGTGCCAGAACTACAATAAGATGTCCAGGTTAATATCATATACAACAACATATAACTATTTAGAAAGACAGACTGTTTAGGGCAGGATTGCAGCAACCTATGGCTTGTTGGCTGGATTTGGCCTCCCCAGTGATTTAATTCAGCCTGCAAAGCCAGGACATAGGTGGCAATTTGGTGGTGAGACACCCACCTTTTGAATGAACTCCATTACTTCATCCTGCCACTCCTAAAAGGTTGCCGAGCCCTGATTTAAGATAATGGACTTTGATATATTGGCAGTGAGCTGGCTCATTTTTGCTTCTGTTTTAAACCAAGCATAAAAGGATACAGATGCTACTGCCAGAAATCTGCGGTATGAAACCACCCAACTGCATCTATCCTGCAATGTAATGCTGTACAACAAATTCTGAAAAGCGCGTGTGTGTGTGTGTGTGTGTGTGTGTGTCTTCAGTGGCAGTTTCCTGTTGACTTTAATGAGAGCAGTACTAGTTAGGTGCACTAGTTAGAAAAGTCCATTATTAGTACACATGTAACTTTTAATTCCTTTTTCAACAAAGCTTATTCACAAATGAGTTTGATGGAACTTAAAGGCATGCTTAAACATGCTGCGGATCTTTGGCAAGTCTACTTGCATTGAAAGATAATTATTCTTTAACACATACCTTGATCCTTAGCTTATAAGGCAAAATTTGTATTGACGCTCTGCGAGTCTTGCCTGAAATGACATGCAAGATTGGATGCTATTTAAATAATAGTGTCAAGACCTTAGACCTAGGTGATTTTTAGAATTATCGAGTTGGAAAGGACCCCAAGGGTCATGTACCCCAACCTCCTGCATGGATGCAGGATGCACTGTTCCTAAGCCATCCAAGACAGATACTTATTCAGCCTCTTTTTGTATGTTGGAATTTTTCAGTGTTCAGAAAGCTTGTTACAGTATAAGCTCTGTCTTATAAAAAATCTTTGGAGCCTTTTTAAAGTGTATTGTTTAGGAAATTCAACATTATATTGTGATTGTTGATTGTATAAGGTTTGAATCTGCCTCAGTTTACTCAAAGTTGAGCCGTACTATATTCCATGAGTTCATTGTTTCTATTCCTCGTGAATAAGGATGTCGGAATAGAATTTATGGTAAACAAACAATTATTGTGAAGGCTGTTAAAAAGGTCTTAAGAAAATGTCTTTGAATACAGCATTTTATGTATGCTTTAAAAGTGTTATTTTTTTACATAGTGTATTTTTATATAGAAATGGAAGGAAAAAAATCAAGACTAGGGGAGCATGGTAGAAGATGACCATCGCGCTCAGAAAATCCTGTTTAGAAGCAAAGAGGAAAGAAAAACACTTTATTTTTAGTTAATGGCTTGTTTAAGTGAAGGAAACTGAAAAGGATGAAAATCTAGTGGCAGGGTTGATAGAATTTTATCATACAAAAATATTTCTGATTTATGAAAGCCAGCCCGAGAGGTAATAAAAAGCTTTTCTAAAAACAGTTTGATTTTAAAAGCTTATGATTAAACATTATGAATTCAGGTTTAGCTAACCCAGTGCTTATTGGTGTGTGATTTCCTAAGGCTTTGGATAATGTTTGTCTTCATCATTGCAGTTTCAAAAGATGTTAGGAAAATGCAGTGCATTCATAACACTTGCAGTTTACCATATATTTTAGATCTTCTACTGGTTGGTGTTTAACTTGGAAGGGATTCTGCTAAAAACTTTATGAAAATATAGAAACTCAGACATGTTGCAGGCATCAAGATTTTTGGTCAGATAACAAGGTGTCTGACTGAGTGCATATGAACTTCATGAAAGTCATATGGAAGCTGTACTTATTTCAGTGCCAGGTTCTAGAAATCAAGTGTCATAATATTTACTATTGTGAGGGATACAACCTGCTTACCAATTTGCTTTCTGACCAAGTTGCTTGAACAACATTTTTTTATTATTATTTGGTTTGAATGAAATTCCTAGAAAACTTAAGTGGTGTAGACATCCTGCTCAGATGTGAACTTCACGCATGGGATTAGATTCTCGTCTGCTGTAAATCAGCATAGTTCTCTGCAAGTCAGTGGAAATATGTAGAATTACATGAACTAAAGATCTTGCTCTTTAAGTTCATGGTCCAGATCCTCCAAGGCCTATCTCCCACTGAAATCAATCGTCAAAATAATCAGGTGCCTAACTAATTCACATTTATCTTGGAAGACATATGCCCATGTGTAATCTAAACAGCAAGTTCTACGTTTTTAAGCTTTTAACTTCCTTAGGGTTTCTTTACATAAGATTTCCTGATGCTTGATTCAAAAGTGCCTGACTAGACTATCATGATTAAATCATAAATGATAGCTGAAAAACTGTTGTAATCTCAGAGTTAAATTAGAAGAGCTCAGTTTTATTTCAGTTAGTGCAACTCCACATCCTTTACTGAAGAAAGGACTGGGTGCCAGTAGTACCCTGTCATTTCACGAGAGCTTTGTATTTGTATGGCACATCAAGAGATGATGGCTACAGCTACAGTGCTTTAGGTAAAAGGGTTATCCTAACAGTTTGAGTGGAGAAATACAATGTACTGTCAGGTGCCCTCTTCTCTTTAGGAAAGAGTTTACATTCATGTAGCCCTTGCAAGGTTGTATGAAACACAACCCTTGCTGGGCATTGTGCCCCAAATACTATATAGCTCTATTGTACACTGAGTTTGAAGTAGAACATCTTCCACCTGGCACTTTCATTGTAGAATAGGTTTCCTACTTCTTTTTCTTACCATATCACTCTTACATCCTCGGCTGCTGAAAGCAGGATTTCTTTCTACTGTGATGCTTAATCAAAACATCAAATCCTTATGCTGATTTTCCTTGTGGTTTTTTGTTTTATACCTTATTAGAGCACATGAGACAAATCATTGTGCAGTTTTTACTTATATTCTGAAGGAAAAGAGGCAACCGTTCATTTTTAATAGTTCTTTTTAACAGGACAGCATTTGTCACTGCAGTTCCACATTTGTATGTATGATGAGTATTTTCAATCTCTCTTGTTTAGAATCTTGTGTAATATTTGATATCTGTAATATCAAGATGTTAGTTTTATATGTCTGGATATTCAAATAATAGAATGTGTCTATTTTTATCCTACTGCCTTCATTTAACAAATTGCCACAAACAACACTTAGTTCGAGGCCTGTACTGGGATCTCAGTTTATTCCATTTTTTGTAAATGTTAACTTAACACTTTTTGGCATTCTGTATTTTTTTCATAGTGAGTACTGGGCTGTAGAAATGCTACAACACATACTTTTGTGTTACCATTACATGCCATGAAACATTTATGCTTGGAATTAGGCAAAATTCAAGTATTGTACAATGTAAATAAGATTAATGAAGCTATGGCATTGTATTTATTGCTTATAGAGTAAGACTGAAACGAAAAATGTGAACTTATTTTGTTTTTGCTTCATTTTCACTCTTAATATGAAACATTACTCATTTAATTGTTGAAAAAACAATATTAATTTTCTGATCAATAAAATCGTATGCTTACCAGTTCTTGGATGCTTTCCATATGAAAGATGTGAGTTTTATTACTTACACTAATGATAAAGATAACCAGAACTATAGTTTTCATAGTCATTTTGTAACTGAATGTGAAAAAAAATTAACGTAGACAGAGACTAATAATATTCTTTTAGAGGGGCTTTTTATGGCTAATAGGTATAATGGCTTCAGCCTCCCATTATACAAATCACCTGGACAGGAAGATTCCTGGTACTTGAACAGATTAAATACTGTAGTGTGGGACTTCCGTAGTACAAATTCCCAAGCATCCTATCAGTATCTTTCTTCGTGTTACCCTTACTTACTGCTTACATTGCCCTACACTGGACAGATGGTGGAATCCCTACATGAAATAATGAATAGACACTGATTTGACATTGATTCCAAAAAGACAGAAAAGTCTGTGGCAGTACATTTCAACCACCCTGGATATTCCATCACTAACCTCAGAGTAGCTGTTCCTAAAGACTAAAAATAAAAAAATGAAAAAAAAACTTTTACAATTAACTTGAATGTGGAATCATGCACAAACCAGATTGTAGGCAGGATAGGTACATTTTATATCTTAACTGAATCAGAGATGTAGAAGTTTTCATGCATCCATGATTTAGTTGTTAATCAGGTGCATCTCTACCCTGCCTTCTACCTAATTTCAGACTAACATGGCTGCCTACATTCCTCTGCAATGTGAATTGTGTTAAAGTATGGTCTCAACAGAGATTATGGATTTTTATCCCATTACCTGGATTATTTTTAACCCTTTTGCCCACAGGTTAACTGCTTTGTTTATCCTCTTTGATTTCTTCAACTCACTTTTCACCTTTTTCAGCAATAGAACCTGCTCCTATCACTT